TGGGCTGGGAGAGAAGTGCAGCAATGAATGAATGAAAATCCAAAATCTCTGTAAATGCTCATTAAAATTATTTAAAAATTTTTTTAAATGTTTATTTGTGTGTGTGTGTGTGTGTGTGTGTGTGTGTACCATCAAATTGGATCTGACTGGTACAGGAGGAGATTGTTCCTCTTTCTCAAGCAGAGCATCTGGTGGATTTGAACCATTCACCTCTGGGATTGCAGCCTTCATCCTTTTTAAATTAATTTTTTTTAAGTATTTGCTCTTTTGTGTCCTAACATTTATTCATCAGAGCATGGAATACCAAGTTATTTTGTGAAAGATCATAACTAAATGGTGTTTGGCCATCAGTAATGACTATAGCTCTTGACAGAGGGGGAAATGTGGAATGGAACACAAACTTTTCAAACATCCAGGCTTACCAGACTGCTTGGGGCTAGAAGAGTCTCTAACACTATTGCTCTGAAATACTGTCAGCTGCCTAAAAAATGGGTGAGGAGACAGGGAAGCTGGATTCTGGAAGTGATACATCCAGAAAGGAATGAATGCAAATGTGAATGTAACTAATGCCTCCAAACGATTAATTGTTAAATAGGAACCTACTTTGCTGTGTAAACTTGCACCCAAAACACAACAAAATATTATTTTAAAAAGTGATACAGGGAGAAAGGGAAGTGCTTAACAAAGCTGATGAAATTGTTTTGGAACTGGTTAGAAATGAAGATAGTACGATGTTGTGTGTGTACTAAATGCTACTGAATTTTCCACTTTAAAATTGTTGGTTTTATGCTATATTAATTTTTCCACAGTGAAGTGATTTTTGTCCAGTGAAAGGAAAGTTTATTAAAATTTGGTTTACTTACTAGTCATTACTTAGGTAGCTGTTTCCTGAACATTCTTGCCATTAAACTAGTTTTTTTTTTTTTTAATCTGTTATGGGGAAAGGAATGTAATAAGGAATATAAGCTCGGAGAATAGTTTCTAACTCAGATAATTGGAAAAAGGATTCTGTGGATTAAAAAAACTTAAATTTTTATTCTTTTCCTTTTTAGAATAACACAGTGCTGAGGTACCTAAGAATGAGTGGAAACAAGATTGAAAACAAAGGTGGAATGTTTTTTGCCGCAATGCTGCAAATCAATTCATCCTTAGAGAAATTAGATCTGGGAGATTGTGATCTGGTGAGTGAACTGGTTATGGGAGAGTCGCCCAGTTAAGGAACGCCATTCTCCAAGGAAACTAGCATAGAGCAGAATTGTGTATGAGACCCTGAGTCTAGTGAATCATTATCTTGTCCTTAATGTCTCAGGTCCCCCTATATCGTTGTTGTTGTTGTTATGCGCCGTTGAGTGGCTTGTGATTCATAGCGACCCTATCTAGATACAAGAGCCCTAAACCCTGCTCTATCCTGTGCCAAACTCACTGTCTCCAATACACCTACTCCCACTGAATCGATCCATTTCATCAAGGGTCTTCCTCTCCTGCACTGTCCCTTCACTCTCCCAAACATTATGTCCCTCTCCAAGGACTGGTCGGTCCCTCCTTGCAACATGTCCAAAGTATGTCAGACGGAGCTTCAGAATCCTTGCCTCCAAGGAGCAGCCTGGCTTCACCTTCTCCAGGATGAACTTGTTTGTTCTCCTAGCAGTCCATGGTATATTCAACACTCTTCTCCAGCACCACAGCTCAAAGGCATCAATTCATCATATTGTGGTTAAATAATATGACAAAAAACACTCAGCATAAGAAAATACTGCTGAACTTCCAAGTAGTCCATCTTAACATGTGTGTATTTTAAAATATTAGATTATGTTTGTTGTAATTACATAAATATTACTTCACTATAAAAAAAATCTGTCTTGCAAGAAGTGCAGTGTCAGAATGTTCCTTTGTTTCACATACTGTGGGCATGCGATGAGGAGTGCCCCTGGGGAAAGGCATCCAGCTTGCTGAAGTTAGAAGAGGAAGGCTCTCAACAAGGTGGGCGGGCACGTTGACCTCAATAATGTGTTTAAGTAGAGTGTGTGAGGATTGCGCACGATTGGATATTGTTTTCTTTTGTTTCACATACGGTTGCTGTGAACTGGAATCAACTTGGAGGCACGTAATGACAACACTTCACTGGTTCACATAATCTATTTTTACTTTTGAAAATGTTTTGTAAAGCAATAGTTAAAAACAACAAAAACAACAACAAACTAACCCACAACCCAAAAACTGCTCGAAGCCTTCATTTGGCTTTGATAAGGAGAAATATGGGGGGCTTTGCGTGTCTTCACACTTTGCTTTCTTAAACATGCTTTAAGATCTTTAGACCCACTTTTGGTAACATTTGTACGACCTTTTAAGTTCAGCTCAACTAGGCAAAAGATCACTGAGACGCACGCACGAACAGTAAAATGGACCATGAGGCTTTTGGGGGTAAAAGGTTCTGAAGGATTGACTGATGACCTTCTTAAAGAAGTGGGAGTAGCCGGTAAGGGTTCTGTAAAAGCATAAATTCAGTATTTGTTGTGCTAACAAGTAAGGATGTGCCATTGAACTCCGCGCGATCTAGTGGTATAGTGGGAAGGAGTTGCGCTGCCAATCCCAAGGTACATAGTTTGAGTCCATCAGCTGAACCTCTGTGGGAGAAAGATGGACCATCTCCTCCCTGGTCATTTACAGCCTCTAAAAAACCACTGGAGGGTCAGCTTTGGAGCAGTTCTGACTTAATAGTACACAATAGTTGAGCTAGTGTGGGCCCTGCACTTAAGGAGCTTATTTTTAGTTGGGGAAACATCAAGAAATAGAAAAACATGTCATGAAGATGCTAAATAAGGTGTTCCGGTGATAAGGAAGAAGTATGCTCTCAGACAGGTGGGCTGTTGAGGATTTTTCTCCAGACCAAGCAAATATACGGCTTTTGAGTCCATTTCAACTTATAGTGACCATGTTGTTTTTGTTATGTGGCATCGAGTCACCTGTGACTCATAGTGACCCTATGTACAACAGCCCTAAACCCTGCTCTGTACTGTGCCGATCCCACTGTCTCCAGCACACCTACCCCCATTACCCCAGTCACTGAATCAATCCACCTCATAGAGGGCCCTCCTCTCCTGCACTGTCCCTCCACCCTCCCAAGCACGACATCCTTTTCCAAGGACTGGTCCCTCCTTGAAATTTGTCCAAAGTATATCAGATGAAGCTTCAGAATCCTTGCCTCCAAGGAGTAGCCTGGTTTAACCCTCTCCAGGATGAATCTGTTTGTTTTCTTAGCAGTCTGTGGTACATTCAATACTCTTCTCCAACACCACAGCACAAAGGCATCAACTCTCTATCCTCCCTAGTCATTGTCCAACTCTCTGATGCATAGCAAGTGATTGAAAAGACCACGGCCTGTATCAGGCGCACCTTAGTCTCCAGAGTGACACAATTGCTCTTCAGTACTTTGGAGAGGTCCCTAACAGCAGACTCTCCCATCACAATATATCTTTTAATTTCTTGGCTGCTGGTGCCAAGAGTGTTGACTGTGGAGCCAAGCAAACTAAAGCTGTGAACAATCTCAATCTCTTCACCATCCCTCCTGAAGCTGCCAGTTGGCCCAGTGGTGAGAATCTTTGTCTTCTTGATATTGAGCCTCAATCCATAGAGCACATATTTCTCTGTAGTACAGCAGGTGGGTTAAAACCCCCAACTTGTTAGTTAGTAGCTGAGGACATTAACCAGGGTGCCACCAGGGGTCCAAGAAGACCTCCCCAAGGGGGCAGTAGTTAAGAGTCATGAAGTATGAACAAGAATTGTTATGAAGAAGGATCTATAACAGAACATTCCAGACAAGAAGACTAGCAAATAGAGACTCCAAACTAGTGCTTCTAAGAGTAAGGCAATTTTAATACTACTGTGTTTATAAATGCAGTAATAAATGCATTTATAAAACCAATTTTTATTCTTTCAGAAGCCTATAGTTTTCCACTCATACCTGATAAATAATTTTGGAAGTGATGTCAAGTAGTTCTTGGTATCACCACTAAAAACAGAACAGACTTTGGATAGAACAGTCTTTACTTGGAGAACAGAAGCAGAGTAAGTGACACACACACACACACACACAGAGAGAGAGAGAGAGAGAGAGAGAGAGAGAGAGAGAGAACTAATTTGAAAGGAAAAATAGTAATTGTACAATGAGATGTGTTCTAAGCAGTATGAGCCCTTTGCTAAGATCCATGTGTTTGTGTAGGTGAAGTTTGCATTGGTGAGTATAGCAGAGAACTTTGATGATTTAGGTGCAAACCCAAAGGAAAACACCCAAGGAATAATGGGTTTAAAACTAAGAAAATCCCCATACATATTATAGAGTGATTTTTGTTGAGGGAGGAAAGAACAGGGTAACAATTCACTTCTGATTTTTATCTACCCACAACTTAAGAAGTTTAAGACAGTCAAAATAAACACTGCTGGATTAACATTGAGAACCTTATGATTAGGGAGCTCTGGTGGCGGCAAGGAGCTGCTCTGCAATCTCAAAGGCACGCGGTTTGATGCCACCTGCGGTCCCCGGGAGGAGGGTGGGCAATCAATTTCCTTCCAGGCCTCTGAAAACGCACCGGAGGGTCAGCTGTGGGTCGGACCTGACTCGACAGTATCGACAACAACATCACCTTACCAGATATCAGATAATGGCAATCTTTATTTAGTGTGATTAACTTAGAGACTTTGTCAATGTCCTTAATGAATTTACCTGTTTTTAGGGGATGCAAAGTGTGATCGCATTTGCTACAGTGCTAACCCAAAACCAAGCAATTAAGGGAATCAACTTAAACCGCCCTATTCTGTATGGTGAACAGGTATGTTTTCAAAGGAATGCCAGTAAATGTCAAAACTTATGAATAAAATTAAGGTACTGAATACGGTATCTGTTGTAACTTCTTGTTAAATCTTGTAAACCATTATTTATAAAAAGTTTTATTCATGGAAAATTATGACATTATTTCCTGATAATAGTGATTTTTAGATTTTTTTTTTAATTTCTCCTGTCACCAAGTACTGAGTAAATCTGTGAACAGCAGTGTAGTAAGCTAACAGTAGAAATGCTTAAAATTGTAAAGGCGAGGCTTTTCAAAAACCCTTTGTTTTGTTGGGTTTTTGTTAATATTTGTTACATTAACTGATAGGGCTGAATCATTAAGTCTTTGAAATGATCTCTGAAATGTGTATGAATAGCAGGTTGGCAAGTCTGGACTCGATCTTTTACATAAATTGCATGTTGAAGATAGATGATTCTGTATGTTCATGGCTTCTCCCTTGAAGCTTTAACATCCTCTGAGGTAGATTTCTTTATCCATGAATTATAAAAGTTATGGAATAAGAGCTCATTTTATTATTGATCTAAACCAAAGCATAGAGGTACATGTATGAAAAGAAAATGGAAATGTTCTGAGCACTTGCACTCACCTTGCCCATCAGAAAAAACAGTCAGAATGAACCATATTCTTAGGTATTTTTCAAATGCAAAAGTACATATTCTTTTCTTTTCCTGTATAAATCTCTTTCTTTGAATGATCTCTTTACCAAAATATTTTCTATACCAAAATTCTAGTAATCTTTGTAATGCTCATTATTTCAGATAAATAAAACTAACCTGCTCTCGGCAGCTTGAGGTTGGGGAAACTTTGGAAACCATGTGAGACAGTTCAACTTTGCTCTGTAAGATTCGTAAGAGTTGGAATTGTTTGGGTAACAATGGATTTATTGTTGTTGTTTGTTTTTAATATAAATATAATAGCATATGATAGGGTCAGGGTTTCCACCTAGAAATGATTGCTTGATTATTGTTGTTTTACATGAAAGAAACTGGTCTATTTTGAGTCACTGAGTCATTGTGTTTGACATGTGCCTGCTACCTGTGTTTGACAGAACAGTCTTGTAATTTATGCCTTTATGCCAGAAATGTTTTGTTGTGGGTTTTTGTGTTTTTTTTACAACATGCCAAACAAGTATAAATGGAAAAGGAACAGTCTTAAGCAATAAAACCCTTTTAAACAGCTAAGTTAAATAAATGTATTCAATATGTTTAGAGTTGTTGTTGTTGTGTACCATAGATTCGGAACAGACCCATAGAAGCAGGAAGTGGAAGCAGGAACGGCATCCACTTCCTAAATCACATGCCCCTGGAAACTCTATGAACTCTGATAAATGTCGATAGTTGTAGAAGGGCTTCAGGCCTTTTGTCCATAAGGTTGCTATGAGTTGTGTTAGACTGATGGTAGTCAACAACAACAACATATGTTTAGAAGAAACATGCTCTTGTTTAAAATTATATTTGTTTTTGTTGACTTTTAGGAAGAATCTACAGTCCATATGGGACAAATGTTGAGACAAAATAATTGTCTTATTGAACTGCACATGTGTAAGCATGATATGAAAAATTTTGGTTTAAAGCAATTATGTGATGCGCTGTATCTGAATAGTAAACTACGCTATCTTGATATCAGTTGGTAAGCAATAATTTTAATCCCCGGCCCTCAGGCCAGTCTTTCATTGTTTTTGTTCAGACATTCCTCTAGGTCGTATAGCCCTGGTGTACAAGTTGCCGTACCATGGTCACTTTTGGTTGCTGTGAGGCTGAACACTGTGACACTGATGTGTCAAATGCCTTAACGGTTGGTTACCCAATGCGGACAGAGAGTGGGGTGGAGCTCCCCGATTTAAATAAGCTTGGAAGGAGAAGTGGCATTCACTTCCATAATAGCTTGCCTCCAGAAACCCTGTGAACCTGGAGAAAGGATGAGAGACACCCAAGCGTTGAGGGCTCTCCTTCATAAGGTCGCTATGAGTCTCCTGCAACTCGATGGCACTTAACTACAACAAGCAGCAATAACTGAACATAAAATAATGTGAAAACTAAGTCTTAAGAGTGATCTCTTTATATAATCATAAGGTACCTTGTTATATACTATAACCTTGAGTAGGAAATTCACCCATTGTTGATGGGATGGTATTATTAAGATCAGAATTCTCTAGTTATGTATCAGTTATAAAACTAGAGTTATAAAAAAAAAAACACAACAAAAACCCTAGAGTTATACATTTATCAAACTGACATCACTTTTCTCCAGTCTGCAAAACTAGTTACTTTTCCTTAAGATTCTTTGTTTCCTTTCTTTAGTGATGTAAAGTAGTTTAATCTGTCTATCAGAACAGGAAATGCATCTCTCCTAAATCAGCAGTTTACCTCTTTGAAACGGTTTTGCCCAGCCATATACAAATTGTATATTAAGCTGCCTGTTTGCCAGGAGGGGAGGGGGGCCTTTCCTGAGTTAGTGAGTTGGTGTGTCACTCTGGTATAAAAGCCTCATGACTACTCCCAGAGGAGGAGGCAGTTTTTGAGGGAAACTCACTGTCCTCCCGGATCTGTAATAAAGTGCCTATGGATATATTGCAATCCGTCTGATTGACTGGCAATTAACTATGGAAAAAACCCCTTGTGTTCAGTAACATTGTGATAGAGCTTTTTTATCTTTA